ATAAACGGAACCATCGTAACTTCACAGGAAAACACCAGGAATAGATACACCATACTTCTGGCAAGCGTTTTCATAGGGAAGGCGTCACAAAGGGGGCAGTTTTTGTGGCAGCAATAATGACGGCAGACACGAGTGAAGCAGCAAGGGTGGAATGAGGGTGTGGAGTGCGACCATCCGCGCCGTCTATCAAGCTGTGATTTCAGTACCATGGAGACATTCGAGGAACACCTGTCAGATACACTTGTCACGAGCCAGAAACACCTGTCACGAGTCGCGTCAGAAACACATGTTTCCAGCCTAGCACATCGCCAACTGGACATTCGGCGCGATAAATCTTCGTCGAAAATTTTCCCAATACATGAAACAACATAGAAACTACAATTTCATTAAAGAAAACCGAATTGGCATAAAAAATGTTATAAACGTCCATGGGATGGGGGAATATAAATTATTAGAATAAGTCAGCGACAGCAGCGACAAGCGCGTCAAGGCGCGAGACAGGAACAGCGGTGTCGGTAACAAGAGAGGCAAGGACCCGAGGGACAAGGGGACGAGCAGCACGGATGTAGTCAGAGAACAGAGGAGGGGCAACAGCAAGGGACGAGGGAGGAGGGGACGGGAGGAGGGGAGGACGAGACGAGCGGGAACGGAGCAACATAGGGTGGGTGGGCAGGACAGGAGAGACGGGACGAGCACGGGAGGGACGGCGAGCCCAAACGTGAGACGGAAGGGTAGGGTCAGGGGACAGCGGAGGAGACACAGGAGGGGAACGAGGAGGAAGACGGGCCGGAGACGAGTCCGGCGGCGGGAACACAGGACCGTAGACAGGGAGGTCAGCAGGCGGTGGGGGAGACACCGTCGCGCGGTCCGGGGAGGGAAGGCCGAGCAGGCGGAGAGCGGAGACCGGCGGCGACGGCTGCTGCGGCGGCGACGACGGCTGGGCCGGAACTCTCGGACCAGCAGAGGCAGAACGACCGTCGGCAGAACACTCAACAGCAGCACCCCCAAAACCAACACCCCCAGAGCGAGAACCCCCGCCAACACCAGCGGCACCCCCAGAAGCCGCAGGACGAACACCATCCTCCACACCAGCACCCCCAGGGGCCAAGAGCGGCGGCGGCAGTGGCGGCGACGACTGCGCCGGCGACGGCTGCGGCGGCGGCGACAGCGACGACGGCTGCGGCGGTGACGGCGGCGGCGGCTGCAGCGGGGTCGGCGACTGCGACAGTGGAGGCGGAGGCACCGGGGAAGGGGGACGCGGCAAGGACAGACCGGGGATACCACCAGAGTCAGCAGACTCCTCAACGGGGACAACCGACGGGAGGGGAGTGACGTGAGAGACACCAGACGGGGCAGGACGAGGCGGGAGAGGGGCAGGGGCTACCGGGGGAGAGGGAGCAAGGAACAGTGGGGGGGAAACTGGGAGATCCCGGTGAGGGAAGCGGCGGTAGAAGGAGACGGACTCGTCAAAGGTGACGTCACGAGAGTGGAGGAAGCGGTGAGACGGCGGGTGGTAGAAAAGCAAGACGAGTCCAGGGGGAAACCGAGGAAGACACAGGGGACAGTGCGGGCAGTGAGCTTGTCCGTGCCAGAGGCACGAACGTGAGCAAGGCAGCCCCAGACGTGGAACGCAGACGCATCACCGGGGGACCCGGTCCAAAGGAGGGTCGGCGAAACCTGCGGCCGCTGGGAGCGTGGCCACAGGTTAAGCTGGTGAGCAGCGTAGCGAACAGCGAACGGCCACAGAAAATGGGGGGCATCGGCATGGATCATGGAGGTACGGGCGACCTCCATGACCAAGCCGATGCGGCGCTCAGCAACCCCATTCTGCTGTGGCGAGTCCGGCAAGGTGTACGACTGGGTGATGCCCTCTGCATGACAGAACTGTCCAAGCCGACCAGAGGCGAACTCGCCGCCACGGTCGGAGTGGAGACACAACACGGGGAGACCGCGGTGGAGACGCGCAGCCACAACCTACGGGAGAAGAACGTCGGGCACGTCGGCCTTCCGCTCCAGGGGAAACACCGTGGTGTAGCGCATGTAGTCGTCGACGAGCACAAGGAAGTAGCGCTCACCGCGCGGTCCGGGGACGGGGGCAGGGCCCCAAACGGACAGGTGCAGGGTCTGAAGGGGGTTAGTAGCAGGGCGCAGCGAGGAGGAGCGAGGAGCACGGCGGAGCCGACCCTCGACGCAAGGCGTGCACGGTGGCGCAGTCGAGGGAGGAAGTGTAGGGAGCGACGCGGGGAGACCTAAGACAAGACCGTGCTGGGACATGTGACGCAGACGCGGGAGAGCAGGGTGACCTAAGCGGTGGTGCCAGAGAAGGGACGGGTGAGTGAGGGACCGACACGAGCAAGCTGCAACGACCTGGGAGGATGCACCAACCGGGGGGGAAGCGGTGTCGAGGGTAAACAGACCGGACACCGGGTCCCGGGGGAACGTCGCAATGGGGGAACCTGAGACAGCCTCAGAACAGACAGCGAACCGCTCGTGCCTGGGGAACGTGGTGGTGACGCCGAGGTCTTGGAGACAGCCGACACCAACCAGGTTCCGGGAGAACGAGGGAACGTGGAGGCCAGTAAGGGAGCCCGAGGGAACTTCTGGACAGGGAAGGGACGTAGAACTGCGCGCGACGACAGGACCCGCAGAGGGGTCAGCGAGAGAGACAGCAGCAGGTGCAGCAAGCGGCGTGAGCGTGGAACGGTCGCGGAAGAAGCAGGCAGAAGCACCGGAGTCGAGAGTGAAGGACAGCGACGCAGTGGCGGAGGCCGGGGACGGAGCCGGTGCAGCGACTAGACTAGGCAACCTAGGCAGTCCTACGCCTGACGCAGCAGGGGAGGTTAAGCTACACTGTGGTGCAACACCTAAACTAGAGTACACAGGGTAATAAGATCCAGCAAAACTAGAAGCGTCAAAATACAAAGCATGCAAAGCAGCACCTATCTGATCCATGTCTAACTCAAAGATCGGCACGCCCTGGCGGAGTAGGCTGTGCCAGTTGGGGAGGTCCGGGGCCGGGCCAAAGCGACGACGAAAGAGATCGTCAAGGCGGCTGAAACAGCGGGAGGTCGGGTGCGGGCGGCGGCACAGAGTGCCGCGAAGAGGCCCAGTCTGAAGCTGGTACTGGCAGGTGACAGCACCGGAGCTGCCGGTAGACGCTAAGCTGCGCGGGCCGCCACCACGGCCACTACCTCCGGAGGTGCCGGGCCAATCAGGCGGGAGACGGGCCCACTGCTGCGGCGACTGCTGCTGGGACGGTGACTGCTGCTGGGGCGGCGGTTGCGGCTGGGGCTGCTCCTGCTGCGGCTGGGGCTGCTGCTCCTGCCCACCAGTGGTAGTCCCCGCAGGCGGACTACCGTCACCACCACTAGCGCCACCACCCCTACCTCCCTGGCGACCACGGCCACCTCGGCGCGAGCGCTGCTGTGGGTGGACCGCACCAGCCGTCTCGGTGAGAGGGGCCGCCGAGGCGGCCGCAGCCGAAACGTCAGTGAACGTACACTGGGAGGGGGCACAACCGTGAAAGATAGAAACTGCCAGCGCACCGCTCGACTGATCGATAGCGCGATGGCGATTCTCGATCTCTGTGAGGGTATCGACAAAGGCAGTGAGGGTGAGGTCACCCGGGTGCTGGCTAAGGAATTGATCGCGAGCACTAGCGAGGCGGTCTGGCAGGCGCATGGCAATAAAATAGAGCGTCATGCAGAAAGGGGGGGGGAGCGCAGTGAGCTGGGCAGCAGTGCTGGCAGTGCGATAGCGGGTCTCTAGGGTACGCAGGTGAGTGGCAAAGTCTGCGACGGTAGGGAAAGCTGCAAGGTCTAGGAAAAGCATAGGGAAGAGCAGGCGACCAACAGAAGCAGACGCGGGTGTGGAATAGCGAGCAATAACAGCGTCTAAGTAAGCTTTGGCCGTCTCAATAGTAGCAAAACGCGAGCGCTAAGAGACAGGGAGGGCGTGGCTAATGGCAACCTGAGTGACTGCATCGCGGGAGTCCCAGACCGCACGGGCAAGCGCAGCAGTAGAGAAGGTCTCACGGTCATTAGAGGAAGGATCAGTAGGGAGGGGAGCAGGTGCGGGGGGGCGGGGGAGCAAGCCGTCTACATGGACAACCAAGGAGTTGCCATCCTGGCACTGACCTGTAAGGTGGCGGCGAAGATCGGAGAGCCAGGCGGTGAAGTCAACCGCATGGCCCTCGGCGTCCAGTCGGAGCACGAAGTCCGCCATCGTGCAGGGTCAGCGGCACAGCTCCACAGGAACACAGCGACGCAGGAACACAGCGACAGCCCCCTCCAGCACGGCGGCCGCGAAGCGCCTCAGCACGAGCGAGCAGAGGAGACGGAGCCCGAGGCGGCTCAGCAGAACGAGCCGGGGCGAAGGGGCCAGGCAGGTGCAGTGGAGCCAGGCAGGCGCGGCGGGGCCAGGCAGGCGCGGCGGGGCCAGGAAGGCGCGGCGGGGCCAGGCAGGCGCGGCGGGGCCAGGCAGGCGCGGCGGGGCCAGGCAAGGCGCGGCAGTGCCAGGCAGGCGCGACGGGGCCAGGCAGGCCGCGGCGGGGCCAGGCGGGCGCGACGGGGCCAGGCAGGCGCATCAGGGCCAGGCAGGGGCAGCGGGGCCAGGCAGGCGCGGCGGGGCCAGGAAGGCGCGGCAGGGCCAGGGAGGCGCGGCGGGGCCAGGTAGGCGCGACGGGGCTAGGCAGGGCGCGACGGGGCTAAGCAGGGCGCGACGGGGCCAGGCAGACGCGACGAGGCCAGGCAGGGCGCGACGGGGCCGAGCGGGCGCGACGGGGCCGAGGGGGCGCGACGGGGCCGAGCGGGCGCGACGAGGCCAGGCAGGGCGCGACGGGGCCAGGCAGGGCGCTACGGGGCCCAGGAGGGGCGCGACAGGGCGAGGGGGCGCGACGAGGCTAGGGTGGCGCGACGGGGCCCAGGAGGGGCGCGACGGGGCTAGGATGGCGCGATGGGGCTAGGGTGCAGGCGGAAGCGGTAGGTGGGGGATGTCAACCTACGCGTGATACCATGTTAACGTGAGAAGGAATGATAACTAGAGGTGGAAACCTAGAACAAACACTAGTTGGTTGTACTCACTTGAAGCATACCTCAGTCTAGCCTATAACTTCTACATAGCTAATATGTATAAGTTGACAAGCTTATTCAGGGGAATATGGTAAACAAGAAGAAAAAGCAGGGGGGGGGAAGGGGGGGTCTTATCTCATACCGCCCAGGGGGTGTCTTATAAACGGGAAGCCCAAATACAAGATAGACGCCTCGTATAAGACCCTGGGTCTTATATTACTAGGGGGTCTTCTATCCGGGCTATTACGGTAGCGAATTTTTGAAAAATGGCCCTTCAGACTCGGGAATTTTTTTGGGGGGCAAAATCAGAGTGCCTTTCTTTGAAACGTCAGCCCTGCTCCTCACAGGTCCATTGGGTACATTGGGCATATTCGGGGGGTGCTGTGAGGAACTGCTTCCATGCGCAACACACAATTCAGAAATTTTGCAATACGAACATTATTTACAGCATGTGCACACATCAGGGCTGGGCACTGTTTGGCACATGAGGATGAGATGCAACAAACCCCCTGTTGGAACACACATTTATTCATCTTGGACGAGTCGGAGGACCCTTGCATGCTTGCAGAAGTCGCTGGTGATTCGGCAGGGCAGATGGGAGGAGGAACAGACAAGACGCGACGTGAAGCGGAAAGCGCAGTGCATGAATCCATGTGGCAGTAGACCTTGTGGTTGCTTACATAGCCACATAGCACTTACTGTAGCAGGCCCCTTTACTAGGGGACGCATGTGGACAAAGACGAGAAGACAGGGGAGCAGCAATAGCAAGAGAGGTATGAAGATGAGAAGGATAAAGGGGGGGGACGGGGGGAAGGGGGAAGGGAGGGGGAGGGGGAGGGGGAGGGGGAGGGGTAGGGGGAGGGGAAGGGGGAGGAGGAGGAGGAGGGGGAGGAGGAGGGGGGGGAGGAGGAGGAGGAGGAGGAGGAGGAGGAGGAGGAGGAGGAGGAGGAGGAGGAGGAGGAGGAGGAGGAGGAGGAGGGGGAGGAGGAGGGGGAGGGGGAGGGGGAGGGGAGAGGGAGGCGGAGGAGGAGGAGGAGGAGGAGGAGGAGGAGGAGGAGGAGGAGGAGGAGGAGGAGGAGGAGGGGGAGGAGGAGGGGGAGGGGGAGGAGGGGGAGGAGGAGGAGGGGGAGGAAGAGGAGGAGGAGGAGGAGGAGGAGGAGGAGGAGGAGGAGGAGGAGGAGGAGGAGGAGGAGGAGGAGGAGGAGGAGGAGGAGGAAGAAGAGGAAGGACGGGAGAAGCAGGAGGATGGCAGGAGAAAAGGTAGAAGCGCAGTTACCTCCATGTTCCATCGCCCACAAGCAGCGTGTCCCCATCGATGTCTTCATACACCAAGCGCCACCCCGCCAGCAGATCGGTGGCATCACCTGCATCACTTGCACCAGCAGCAGAACCACCAGCAGAACCGCCAGCAGAACCACCAGCAGCAGCAGCACCAGCAGCAGAACAAGCACCAGCAGCAGCACCAGCAGCAGAACCAGCACCAGCAGCATCAATAGCAGCAGCAGCACCAGCAGCATCACCAGACGCAGCACCAGCAGCAGCAGAAGCATCAGCACCTTCCCGTTGACCAGCACCGGTAGCAGCAGCACCGGCAGCAACAGCACCTGCAGGACCAGCACCAGCAGCAGCAGCACCGGCAGCAGAAGCACCGGCAGTGCCAGCCTTCCCGGGGCTTCCATCAGCTACCATGTCGTGCCCCTGGCCCGCCCCTCCCCGGCCTGCCTTGAGAGCAGGGCCAAACATGGCGGCGATGTGGGCAGAGAGGGCGGGGAAGTCGGAGAAGAGCGAGAGGTAGACGGTGCGCGCGATGAGGGTGCCCTCCTTGAACACCTGGGGGAGAGTGGGACGGTGGAGGGGAGAGGGGGGTTGGGAGTTGAACAAGTCACGTCAAGCAAGTGGTGGTGTGAGAGGTGGACTGAGCAGGCAATGTGGGTGCCCGCTTGGGTTTACTGTGCGGGGATGAGGGAGGGGACGTGGGAGAGTAGGGAGGTGAGCAAGAGAAGGAAGTGATGGTGGACTGTGGGGGCTATGCCGCTGCCCTCCTGCCATGCCTTCACCCTCCTGCCATGCCTTCACCGGCATGCCCTTACCTTCACTCTCATCTTCTTTGAGTTGCCGTGTCTTTCCTCTCCTTGCTCCAGCTGGCGCTGCTGCGGGTGGTTGTGCCTGTGCTGGTGCTCGCGCTGTGACGACGATCGTGATCGCTGGCTGCCACCTGGCGAGCTCTCCTTGCATGGCGTCCTGACAGCTGGCGAGCTCTCATTGGATGGCTTCCTGCCATCTGGCGAGCCCTCACAGGACAGCTTCCTGCAATATGGTGAGCTTTCATTGGATGGCTTCCTGCCATCTGGTGAGCTTTCATTGGACGGCTTCCTGGCAGGAGATTCTGCGCCTTGGCGACCCTCCCCTCCTCCAGGCGCTTCCCCATGCGCTGCCGATGTGCCCTTGCAGTCCCGCCCCGCCCTGCCAGCAGCATCAACTGCGGGGGAAAAGAGTGGAGTAGGTGGACCAGCGGCAGCAGCAGCAGAAGCAGGAAGAGGAGCAGCAGCAGCAGAAGCAGCTATTTTGAGTGCATCATCTGTCGGAACATCCCCGAGGCCAACACCAAGAGAGAGAAAGAGGGACACGTCTCTTTGGTTGGAAGATGGCGCATCATCCCTCGCTCTTCTGCCTTCCCTCCCTCCACCTACCCCCCTCCCTCCTTCCTGCCTCGCTTGCTTTCTTTCCCCCCTTGCATGCTCCCCTCCATCCCTCTCCTCCTCCCTCTCCAACTCTCCTGCACCATACACGGCGTTCAGTGCTCTCTTCTCCCTCCGCCCCTCCACCTGCCTCTCCTCTCCCCCCTCTCCCATCTCCGCTCCCCCCTCTCCCCTCTCCTGAGATTTTCCTCCTCCCTGCCGCCCAAGAGCTAGCCAGTCGGCCTGTGAGGAGGCTCCACGTGGCATGCACTCATTGACCGGCCTGACTGCTGAACCAGCACCCCTACCAGCAGCAGCGGCGGCAGCAGCGGCTGCAGCCGTGTGTTGCAGAGAAGGGCAAAAGGAGGGGGGCATACTTTGGGGAGGGCGTGTATGTGCGGTGGGAAAGGGGAGAAGGGGCTGGGAGGGGAAAGCGGAGGGCCAGGGGGAGGAGGCTGGGCCTGGGATGCTTCTAGACGTAGGGGTGAGTAGGTCGCTGCTGAAAGGTGGGCTGCTGGTGGGGTTGTCGTGCATGTGTACGTGGGACTGGGTCAGTCCTTGTCTGTGTGCATGCTCGTGCGCGTGGGAGTGCGAGTGTGTGTGGGAGTGAGTGTGGCTACGCGTGCAGCGATCAGGCCCGTCACACTCGTCGGAAGCCTGGTTGCTGCGGAAGGGAGGAGGGGAGCGGAAGGTCTGGGAGGAGGGGGAAGGGAGGGAGGAGGAAGGGAAGTGCGGAGTGTGGTGGTGGTGGGAGGAGAAGGGGGCGAGCTCGGTAGTGGAGGCGGATGTGTGGAGGGAGGAGGGGATGGGGAGGGAGGAGGAGGGCGGCACTTCAGGGGGGGGGGAGATGTCCCACGGGGAGATGAAGGAGGGCTTGAACAGCGTGGGGTCAGAGTCGGACCATGACACCTGCGCGAGGGGGGAATGGGGACGGGGGAATGTGGAGAGGGGAGAAAGTGGAGAAGGGGGGGAATGGGGGGGAATGTGGACAGGGGGGAATGTGCGTGCTGGTGCAGGGTTGACTCCCGGGGGGCACTAGGAGTGCAGCAAGGGGCGCAGCGAGTCAGTTGATGTATGCAGCGAATGAACGCTCAGGCGTGGGCGCTGCAGATACCAGTCTTGAGAGTGCGGCAGGAGCGGCAGGAAAGGAGCACAGGGCTGCGCATAGGCAAGTGAATGGAACCGCACATGTAGCAATCAGCCTGAGCGCCATCGACCAGCGTTGACTTGCCTTGACTGAGCGCCATCGACCAGTGTTGACTCGCCTTGAGGAGCGTCATTGACCAGCGTTGACTCACCATGACTGAGCATCATTGACCAGCGTTAACTCACCATGACTGAGCACCATTGACCAGCGTTGACTCATCTTGACCGAGCGTCATTGACCAGCGTTGACTCACCTTGATTGAGCGCCATTGACCAGCGTTGACTCACATTGACTGAGCACCATTGACCAGCGTTGACTCACCTTGACTGAGCGCCATTGACCAGCATTGACTCACCTTGACTGAGCGCCATTGACCAGCATTGACTCACCCTGAATGAGCGCCATTGACCAGCGTTGACTCACTCTTGACTGAGCGCCATTGTCCAGCGTTGACTCACCTTGACTGAGCGCCATTGCCCAGCGTTGACTCACTCTTGACTGAGCGCCATTGTCCAGCGTTGACTCACTCTTGACTGAGCGTCATTGTCCAGCGCTGACTCACTCTTGACTGAGCGCCATTGTCCTGCGTTGACTCACTCTTGACTGAGCGCCATTGCCCAGCGTTGACTCACCTTGACTGAGCGCCATTGTCCAGCGTTGACTCACCTTGACTGAGCGCCATTGTCCGGCGTCGACTCACTCTTGACTGAGCGCCATTGCCCAGCGTTGACTCACTCGTGACTGAGCGCCATTGCCCAGCGTTGACTCACCTTGACTGAGCGCCATTGTCCAGCGTTGACTCACTCTTGACGGAGTGCCATCGTCCAGCGTTGACTCACTCCTGACTGAGCGCCATTGTCCAGCGTTGACTCACCTTGACTGAGTGCCATTGTCCAGCGTTGACTCACTCTTGACTGAGCGCCATTGTCCAGCGTTGACTCATTCTTGACGGAACGCCATTGTCCAACGTCGACTCACTCTTGACTGAGCGCCATTGTCCAGCGTTGACTCACCTTGACGGAGCGCCACTGTGAGAGGGGCCACACGGAGGAGTTGCTCCCCACCGCTGCCACGACGCCCCGCAGCCTTTTGGAGGACGTGCAGGGTGGGTGGGTGGGGTTGAGACGTGGGGGAGAGACGGAAGGGGCACAATTGGTACGCTATGAGAGCTCAGCACCAGAACCACAAGGCAGGTAGTGGTGCCACACCGGTCCGTTCGCCACAATAACCCAACCACAGAACAGCCCGCGATTGCCGGGAGGAGAGGAGAATGGCCCGGAGGCGGGGGGTAATGGGGGTTCTAGGCGCGAGACAACAGCGGTACCCAAGTGTAGCTAACTTCCTCTCGACTTGATCACCCTTTCTGACTTGCGCTCCTAGTGGTTAGTGCCTACTTGTTGAAAAGCGAGCTGCTTTTCCCTCGTGAAGTGAGGCGCGCCTGTCGTTCAAAGGAGGGTTGCAACACTTCCTCATGGTATACCATCCTTCCCTCGTCGCAAATTCGTCGACTTCAAAGGCGAGTGGAACTCAACCCTGGTGGGGTGGAGGTGCTGCTTGCAACAACTGAATGCAATTACCTTGGAACTAATTAGACACACTCATCTTGACGTGCTGCACTGTTACCGTCTAATGTCAAGTCGTCGGCTTCCAAGGACGAGCGGAACTGAGCTCCGGGCGAGAGTGCCTTTGCCTCCTACCAATAAGACGCTTTCTCCTCACGGCGGAGCCACCTCACCTCCTCATGGTGAAGTCGTCGGCCTCAAAGGGCGAGCGGAATTCAGCCCCGGGGGAGAGGTGCTGCTTGTGCAGGAGAGCGAGGCAGAAGGCGGAGAGCGGGATGAGGAAGGGCGCACAGCCGGGCAACCTGCACAAGGGGTGGGGAAAGCAAGGGCATAGGGGCGAGAGATATAGGGTGCGGGCGATGTTAATCACGCAAGCAGCAGCCATGAAGCCCAAGCGGTTGCAATCCATGAGGGTCTGCAAAACAGCTGTGCCGTGCTACCAAGTGCTCCAGTCGTCTCATTCCAGTGCAAATCCCTCCCAACCGCTGTGATACAAACGAGGAGAGCAGCAGCCACATGGGGGCATGGCACGCACCGCGGGTGGTACACGACAGTGAAGGGGCAGCGCTGCTCATAGCCCATGGTGGCCGCGCGCAGAGTGCCCTCCACGTCCAGCCCTCCCGTCCCCGCCGGTGCTCCCCGCCCCATGCTGCTGCCGCCCATGCCGCCCGCCAGCATCCCATAGGCCATTGGCGCGGCGACAGGTGGCACACTCTTCCGCCTGATGCTGACCTTGAGGCTGCCGTCGCGACCCCTGGGAGGTGTGGAGGTGGGGGGGTGTGGGAGGTTGGGGAGATGGGGGATTAGGGGGAGAGGGCGTTCGGGGGATGAGAGATTGGGGGAAGAGGGCATGGGGGGGTGGAAGATTGGAGGAGAGGGCACGGGGGGTGGGAAATTGGGGAAGACGGCATCGGGCGAGATTTAAAGCCCGAGTCTAGAATGGCAAAAAACCAGCTTTCCTGACAATGAAAACAGTGTCATAAAATTCCAGCGAAGAAGATTTCGGCAAAGCACTCTGGCGAAAAACAGTGCGCAAACAGTGACGAATAGTACTGTGATGGTCTCTAGTCTCGAGTCTCCCAAAAAAATGCGTTCAGAATGGTTGCGGGCGTTTTCATGTTCAGTATGGGTGAACAATGCGTTCGTGGTTTGTCGTTTCTACCAGTTTTCGCAAACAACCCCATTATCCCGAGGGTTGCGAACTTGACGGTCCCCTAAACTAAGTTACCTCTAGTGCAGGAAAACAAGTTCAGGAATCCTGGGCCATTCTAGACTCGGGCCATTCTAGACTCGGGCTGAGATTGAGAGGAACCATGGGAAATGATGAGATTGAGAGGAACCGTGGGAAATGATGAGATTGAGAGGAAGGTGGAGAGGGGGTTGAGAGGACGGACAGTGGAGAACAAGCGCCTGTTGCGAGAACCACCTTGCTCTCCCGAAACACTCCACCACTGGCCATACCCCTTACCCTACCTCGTAAACAAGACCCTATCCCCGGCCACCAGCCCTCGGCTGGAGACAAACGCGCTCCACCCCGTTGTAAGCAGGTGGCGCTTGGGGGAGCCCCGGTACACGTGGCGGAAGATCCAGCTGCTGCCGTAGATATCAACGGCTCTGAGCTTCTGCGAGGGAATGTCCTGAGTCATGTCCTGGTGTAGGGGGGCAGGGGGTGCCGCGAGCACGGGAGGTGGGAAGACTTCTGAGTCGGCTAAAAGATCAACGGCAGATATGGAGGAGGAAATAGGGTGGATCGATAGGGAGGACGGAGGAGAGGGGGAGATAAGGGAGGGAATGAGGGATGGAGAAGGGAGGGAGGGGGATGTGAGTGAGAGGAAGTGATAGAGAGAGGGGCGCAGGCGTAGAAAGAAGTAAGCGGAGGAGGAGGAGGAGGAGGAGGAGGAGGAGGAGGAGGAGGAGGAGGAGGAGGAGGAGGAGGAGGAGGAGGAGGAGGAGGAGGAGGAGGAGGTGGAGGAGGAGGAGGAGGAGGAGGAGGAGGAGGAGGAGGAGGAGGAGGAGGAGGAGGAGGAGGGGGAGGAGAGGAGGAGGAAGAGGAGGGGGAGAGGAGGAGGAGAGGACGAGGTGGGGGAGGAGGAGGAAGGGGAGAGATGAAGGGGAAGGATGCAAATGAGGGGGGGACGCACCAGGTGCGGGAGGTAGGTGCCCTTTGAGACACACACAATGCAGCAGGTGCGGGAGGCAGGTGTCTACTGAGCCACACACAACTCACCAGGTGCGGCAGGCAGGTGTCGGCGGCCTTGCGCGGCACGGAGAGGCCGCCATGCGTGGACGTGTCGCTGGCGGTCAGCGTCTTGCAGAACATTGCCGCTGGCTCCTCCGGCCCCCACATCA